CAGGGAAGGCCTCATCAATAAATTTTAAGAAAAATGCCCTTTGCTTGAAATTGCTAATCCCCATTAGCAAATATTCTACCTACTGATGATTCAAAGGTAGCAGTAAGGATAGCCAAAGAAAGAGCCAAAGAAAGAGAAATGTACTTTCAATTAGATGTAAAAGATATCATGTAAATATTTTATCATTTTTGTTAAACAGAAGAAATCAATTATGAGGTTTTACTTTTAAAATATATTATTCTTCCATCGGTACCATTTATATTAACAAATGTTTTTAGTGATTCTACCACACAACTTAATAAATTTTCCTAAAAACATGACACAGTACCCACTATATAAATTTTTCTAAAAACTTAATGATTAACATGTCATAGAATCTACTAGATGAAATTGTCAAGAAGCAATAATCATAAAATCCTACTTAATGTCAAATGCAAGTTTGTTATCTCATAAACATTAAAAGCACACACACAAAAGCACTTTCAAATGGTGCATTATTAGAGTCCTTAATCCTCACTTGTTCAAATTTGAACATGTCATAAACGGTATGTATTGTATGTGCTTACAAAAGCAGAGAAGATAAGATAATATCAGTATCACAAGGCAAAAATATAACTTCAGTAAGTCTACAAAAGAATAGCATTGGAGCTTGAAAGAAAAGGAACACATGTACCTGGAAAGCCTGTAAAAAGAAATAGCATTTGAAATGAACTTTGAGGGGTGAGACTGGCTGATTGCATCTGGGCAAGACCAGCATTATCAGGCAGAGACACAAGCATGAGCAATTACAAAGAAAAAAGAAAATGAAGTCTCCAGACCAGGGGACAATTCAATTTGGCTGCTGCACAGACTATGAATATGGAGCAGGGAGCGAGAGCTGGAAATATAATATTGTTTTACCAGGCAGGGTTTTTTTTTTTTTTTTTAATTCAAACCAAAAGTCCAGGGAGGCTGTCTAGATTTGAAAGTAAGTGAGGACATCCAAATATATATACCTACACTCTCTACTTCTCTTATAATTTAGGTTCTCAATACCTGAAACTGTTAGCTTCTGACATGGTCTTTCTACCTAAATTTCTAACAATTTCTACTCTCTACTTCCTAAAGTAAAATTCCACTTATTTCCACTCCTTGATCACAGAACTTCATCCAGATATTCTTCACTAAGACTTGATATGACATGATAATTAACTGAAAATAACTCAAATCCAAACATTATAGAAACATCTCATTATTTTTCAAATATAGAATTAGAAAATTCCTACAAGCTACACAAAGATAATCTTGAAAAAATGTAACTGGAAAATGCATCTGTCCAATTCTATTTCTTTTTAAAAATGATTTAAAAAAGGAAACATTGAGGGGGATTCCCTGGGTAGCAGCGGGGTTAAGTCTTAGCACTATCACCATTACAGCCTGAATTCAATTCCTGGACAGAATTCTCTCCAATTACTCCTTTTCAGTTTTTATTTTTGTTGCTAAAGTTTCACCCTAAAACATCAATTTTATTGCTTATGTTTAGGTGGCTATTCTACATTTCCCAAAACCTAATAAAATACAACAACAATAAACAAATGATGTCTCTGTGGGCAGCAACCACCAAAGCTAGTATTTATTGACAAGACTAAGCAGAGGTTACTTCTCTCCTTTTACTTTCAAAGACAGCATTATAATCTTGGCTATCCATTTACCTCCAAAGAGCGCGTGGACCAAACTGAAGCACCTAGATTATATAGCAATCCAAAAAAAAAAAAAGCCCCACTTATGTCATTAACACTTAGACTACTGAAGCATATTTTGGCAATTCATGTACTCCTCCAATCTGTCCCAAGATATAATTCTTCCTTAAGCCTTTTTCCAAGTGAAGGCTTGGGTACTGCAGTTTACTTATTCAATGATCCGCTACATCACTCAAGAACTAGTGTTATTTACATTTTCAAGATTTTTCAATAAAATTATTTTACATAACCCAAATTTATAGCCATAATCTAATTACTTTCAGTGAAGTGAAATTAGGAGATAAGTTAGTTGCTCAACATTTCCTTCGTCCAAATAATTAGGATTTCTCCAAACACAGCTAGAAACATAAGATTTTGTGCTACTAACCTTAGTAAGAAACTCTATAGAAAATTTCCTGCTCCCTATGTGAAGATGCTGACTAATTATTAGTCTTAATTCTGTTAAAAGTTACTATGCCCATAACCACACTCAATTACAAGTATATTACCAAATCAACATTCTACAAGTGTCCAAAAGACCAAGAATAGATATTATTAATCTGAAATAACTACAAATCAATGTTAGAGGCATGTATACTAGGATTTTAACATAGATCAGTATAGAAGTGAATATGTAAACTGGATTAGGATAAAACATAGTTTTCTTTTAACTCCCAAATCATTTACCTGTAACAATCTTTAATATGGCCTGAAGTTATCATTTTATTTTTAATTATAATTTTTTTTACATCATTCTTCATTTTGTGCAGTTATTCATCTCAGTTGTAATCCCCATGGGATTCCCACCACCAATTCATCCGTGTGCCATCACCATAGTACAGTATTATTTGTTTCTTATGAGCAACAGGGGAGAAAAAATATCATTATTCATTCTCTTTCTTCCAAAAGAAGTAATTCCTTCCCCAGGTAGTTGATATGGCATAACTACTGAATGTATATGAGAGTGCTTATCTGTAGGATTTAACAGTGACTATAAAGCAGCTAATACTTTATTTTTTAGGTAACTCTAAATTACATTATTGTTGTTATTTAGAAGTAAAGGATCCCCCCGCAGGTATTGCCACCACTATCATAGTCCATTGTGCAAAAGCAACTAATTATTTCACCTAATATAATTTAACATAAACACAAAGTACATTGTGGTAAATTAAAGATCTAAGTTGTAATCCCTAATGGTATTCCTACAAAAAAAAAAACACAAATATATCTTAAAAATCCACAGAAAAAAATTAAAACAATGCAGAAATGTGTATGACTAATACAAGAAAAAGCAGGAAATTCTAACAAAGAAAAGCCCAGGATCAGATGGCTTCACTGGTGAAACCTACCAAATATTTAAAGAATAATTAATAACAAACTTCTCAAATGCTTTCAAAAAGTTAGAGGAGGAAACACTTCTTAACACAGACAGAGACACTAAAAGAAAACTACAAGCCAAAATTTTTCATAAGAATAGAAGCAAAAATCTTCAACAACACATTAATAAATGGAATTCAGCAGCACCTTAAAAGGATTATATACTATGACCAAGTAAGATTTTTCCCTGGAAAGGAAGGATGGATCAACATATGGAGATCAATCAATTTCATAATATCACATTAATAAAGAGGGTGGAAAACACATAGGTCATCTCAACTGATGTAGGAAAAGCTTCTGGCAAAATTCAATATTCCTTTATGATTAAAACAATAAATCAAAAGAAAATTTTCTGAGCATACTAAAGGTCAGGCATGAAAAACCTATAGCTTATACCATTCTTAAAGAGGAATGACTAAAAGCTTTTCCTAATATCAAATCAAGAAAAGGATGTTTATTTTTGACCCTTTGATTTGAACACAATACTGAAAGTTCTAGCCTGCACAATTAGGCAAGTAAAAGACATAAAGTATTATATCATAAAGGGAGACATAAAAGTACTATTCACATATGCATCTCTCCATCCACTGCTCTATGTATCTATCTCCTACCTATCGTGCCCCCCCATACATTCATACACACATAACGGAATACTACTCAGCTGTAGAAAAAAAGGATGAACTTTTGCCATTTGGAATAAAATGGATAGAACGGGAAAGGATAATGCTAGCAAAAATGAGGCAGAAGAAACACAAAAACCAGATAGTCTCATTTATAAATGGAATATACAAAAACGAAACAAAGGGTTTAAACCAAACAAATAATACATTCCTGCTGACTGCAAAACTGAGGCAAACAGGAGGGCAGGATAGCAGGGTATCTAAAAACACACCTTGGCCAATTTCAGAAAAGTGAGATGCATGCCTTCCATAAAGATTTAGGCTTCCAGTGCTAGTTATTTATCCAAGAAAAATAAAAGCATATGTCAATACAAAGACTTCTATGTTAACATTCACAACCACTTGACTTAAAACATACAAAAATTAGGGACAGTTTTTGAACTGCTTCATCATGGACCTTGCAGTTTGCTTACAGTCAAAACCATGAATATATCAAAACTATATCAATGGTATCAAGACTGTGCTCTAAATGTTAGAGATAACGAATGAAATAAAGGAAGAAATGAACTCAGTAAATCTAGGTACAATGTCAACATGGGACTGGCACCTAAAATAGAGCATTTCTCCTGGGTGTTTCTTGTAAAGGTATAAAAACTTAGGTTCATGGAATAAAATATACATAGATGTGTATAACAGCTGTATTCCTAATCATCAAAAACTGAAAACAATACTAATTTCCTCAACCAATGAACAAGCTAAATTAAATCCATAGATGGGTATTCAAACAAACACAAAGTAACAAACTATAGAATGTACAAAAACTTAGATGAATCTCCAAAGTATTATGCTCAGTATAGGATATCAGCCTCTACAATTTATACTTTATGATTTATGCGACATTCTACAGTGGTGGAAAATTAGTGGTTGCCAGGAGATGGAGGTGGGTGTGCTATAAAGGAGTAGTTTAAGGGGCTTACGGGGACTAGGGTGTGGGGAGTACAAGAACTATTCTGCATCCTGATTGTGCTGGCAGTGACAGAAATTTTCATGGTCTAAAATTCCGAGACCTATGTATGAAAGGACCAATTATATGGTAATTTTTTAAATATTACTTCTAAGAAGTCAACTAATTTTATTCACCAACTTGGAAAAGTATGACAATATTGCAGACAATTATTAAATAAATGTACTCAATATTTGTTAACAGCGCTAAATTTACAAGTCAACATACCAAGCTACCCAAAAAATCTTTAAAACTCTACTTTCTGATCAAACAATGACTTACCAAGTTCATTGAGACTTTGAGCAGCTTTAGTTATCTCTTTACTTCCTCCCTGCAGTTGTCCTTGGAGTCTCTTACTGAGATACAAGATACGAATTATTCTCCGTAGCAAATCACAAGCAACCTGTACAAATATAATATTAAACAAGTTTAGTGAATCCATGAAATTTCATTACAATTATGTACAATGTGTCCACTTTTTCCAGACACTAAAGATTCATTGGTTCTTTTTGTGTTCTACCAATCAAAAACCTAAATAAACACAAGTCTTTACAATACATCATTTCACAATAAACTCTAATTTATCCTAAATGGAGAGAATTTGTAATTGAGGTCTAGGAAACTTAGGGTTTCTTCTTTTCATTTCTAGGCTAGGAAGAAAATTAATGCCCTCAACGGGCTAGTGGTTCTCAGTCATCATATCAAATTCAAGTGGGTAGATTCAAAAGTTTCAAAACCAGGTCATATCCTCTACTAACTAAATCAGAATCTCTACGGGCGGCAACTAATCACCATTATTTTTTTTTTAGTACCCGAGAGTGTTGCCAGTGTACAGCCAAGACTGCTAAACTTTCTACTATTGCCTTCTATGATTTCCATCTCTTGCTTCCTTTCCCAGGTCCCCAGGAAAATAGACTTAAAACTTCTCCCAATATTACTAGACTTTAAATACTAAGCATGCCCATCTTGAAATTTCCTGATTTTTTAAACATTAATAACAAAATATTAAAACATAAGGGGCCTTCCTTGGTGACACAATGGGTTAAAGCACAGCACTATGAAGCTACCCGAAGCCACTGCACCTTGAGTTGGGGGAGGGGGGGTACCTACATGGAGTGGCAGAGCTCTCCTGACCCACCCA